AACTGTCTACAAACATTAGAAATACAACCTCTAAAAAAGAAACTTTACTGAAGGTGCTGGAACTTACAAAATAAAAATCAGGCTAGAAAAAGACGGCACCAATGAACTAGAAAGAAAGAAGCTCAAAAAAAAAAAAAGTCAAAGAAGAGTTTGATTCATACATGGACACTACTTTGAAAAAAATGTCCAAAGAACTGTTGCTCTTTCCAGACCCAAAACCTAAGGAAAAAACATCTTGACTAGACAATTCTGGCTGCAGCATAAAAGGTTAGGAGAAGATGATTCAAGAGGCCACCAGAGTTACACACAATGGGGAACTCTCAATGACAGAACCAGGAAGACATTGTGGAAAATTAAACAAATGTCCACAACACTACAATCAAAACCATTTTACATGAGAATTCCAAAGCTCAGAGAACTTCAATATGTAAAGCAAATAATACATTTGGACCACAACTACGCTTCTCTTCACTTCTCTATTCCATAGGCAAACTTTGTAACTGGCAGTTTAAAATAATCAAATCCAAACTTAAAACACTAAGATTTAGTGCTTGCCTCACATGTACAAGGCACTGGGTTTTAAATTCAGTTGTATTATTCAGTGTCCCCAGGACCACAAAAAAAACTAAGATTTGCCACTAAAGTTATTCAAAAGTAACCTGAGGGGCTGGGGATGTACTCAGTAGTACAGCATGGGTTGGGTTGTTTCAACAGGCACACACACGTTATATGAAAATAACCTATTAGTATAGGCAATTATCAATAAAATGAAAATGCTCTATTGGAGGCATCTATAGGGGAAAAAGAAATAAGGATCACTAGCTCAAAGCCAGCCTGAGCAACTTAGTGAGGCCCTCAGCAACTTTCTGAGGTCCTGTCTCAAAATAAAAAATAGAAAAGGGCTGGGAATATGGCCCAGTGGCAAAGTACACCTGGGTTCAATTCCTGGTACCAAAAACAAGTAAATAAATAAAAATAAAAAGGTTGGAGATGTGGCTCAGTGGTTAACTGTCTCTGGGCTCAATCCCTGGTAACAAAAATAAATTCAAATTAAAATAAAATGGGAGGGGGTGGCCTGGGATGTGGCTCCATAGTAGAACTTGCCTGGCATGTGTAAGGCCCTGACTTTCATACCTAGCACAACAAAAAATAAATAAATGGGGAAAGAAAAAGAAAAACACCTACCACTTTTGCTCTCCCTCCCCCTCAAATACAAGGAGGGAAGGGCAGGGATAACAGAAATTAGCAAATTAACTGGAAGGTGAATTCAAGTGTAAACCTAAACCTATCTGCAATCCTTGAAATGCCATTGAAGTTACCTATGCCACTGATTCTTTACCCAGAGTGAGCAGCAGAATCCCCTAAGGGGCCTAGGCATCTGTGTTTTATAAAAGCTGGGAAGGAAAATCACTGGTAAAAAAATCTGAAATGTGCACTTAAAAAAAAAAAAAAATCAATCTCAACGACTTTAGACTCACCCTTAATAGGCATTGTGAAGCCAGACCATCTGCTTATTGGCAAACTGAACCTTCTGTTCAGTAAAAGGAAGGAAGAGACTTGACTCAGAATATCAAAGTAATCTTTAAAATATTGTAGATTGTGTTAAAAGTAAATTGGTATTACCCTAGGTACATGTATGATGACATGAATGATGTGACTCTACTTCGTGTAAAACCAGAGAAATGAAAAATTGTGCTCCATTTGTGTACTATGAATCGAAATACATTCCACTTCCATGTATAACTAATTAGAACAAATAAATGAATTTTTAAAAAAGAAAATAAGATTTTCGGCAATAATATTTAGTGATAAAGGGCTGGGGCTGTAGCTCAGTGGCAGGGCACTTGCCTCACATGTGTGAGGCACCTGGGTTCGATCCTTAGCACCACAAACACATAAAATAAAGGCATTCTGTCCATTTACAACTACAAAAAAATAAAAAATATTTAGCAATAAATATTTGAAAACTAAAAAATATTTTCCTAATAACCCATAGGTCAAAGAGGAATCCCAAAACAATTTTTTAATATTTTAAATTGAATGAAACAATGTAATTTGTGATATATTAAAAAAATAAGCAAATTGGTATGACAATAAGAATAAACAAACGACAATTTCACACAACATGGACTGACCAACGAAGAACAAAAGCCAGACACAAATAAAAGTACAAAAACCAGGCAAAAGTAAGTCTATCCTGAATTTTAAAGTTAAGCAAGTGGTTATTCTCAAGAAAAAGATAGTGACTGGAAAGAAATTCAAGTGAGGTTTCTGGAGAGTTGGTCATAAACTATTTCTTGCCCTACATACTGATTTAACAGGATTCAGTTTGTAAAAATTTATGTTTATTTGCATTTTTCTGCAAGTTTATTGTCATCCAACATTTTTAAAGAGCCAAAATATGTAATTAATAAACCTGGGTTTTTTAATCAGAGTAAAATTTCATTATTAAGAAATTTATTTAAATGATTTTAATTTAAAATAAGGCTATAATATATGCATATATGTATATATACATATATGTAATACATGTCCAACAATAATGACTTGCCTAAAGTTTAGCTTTCAAATATCTTAAAAGTACTCAGATATTACAAAAGTGGTTAAGTTAAAATAAACATAGTGCATTTACTAATCCATATTACTACAGTTTAGAATTTATTAATAACAAATTTGGTAAGTTGAAATCTAATATTAATAAGCATAAATGCCTACGTTTGGGGTAAAAAAGCAATTCCTGCCCCCTAAAAAGGGTGATATAAGACATGAGAGAGGGGGAACTTACCAAGCAGGAAAACATGAATGGATGAGTTTACAGTACAGGTAATTACTATGTGAGTATGTGATGAAAGAAAAAAATAGAGGTTAATCTCTAAAACCAAAATCTAAGACAAATGCAAAACCCCAGATCACAACTCCTCAGACCTGCCTACAAAAAGCAGGGGAGGGGAGCCCTATGTGGTTGTTGAAATCAGCAAGAAGAATTAGCTATTGTGGACCTTGTCCATGACTTGCAAAATATAGTGACTAATAACAAACATATCAGATGATTTCAATTACCTTCCAAAGAACTTCAAATTGTCTAAATAGTGTAAGTATCATTAAACATCAACAAATTCTTTAATTATGTTCTTGAGGCCCAATCACAGAAAACAGCATGGTAATAGCTTTAAACATGAAGAGTTAATACATATT